ATCGATAAAAACACCAAATTATTTAGGAAATATTAATCAGACTCTAAGCACTATTTGGATTTTTCAAAATAACTCAAATAATCCTCCGAACAAAACCCCATAGGTTGAAGGATAGTCGTGTTCAAATTTCCAAGAAAAGAAATGTCCAAAGCTACTAACACATAGGCAGGGCATGGCTAGACAATGTCGAGAATTCCTGAAAATTTCACTAACGACTAACACTTGAAAGTCTCTTTGGTGGGAAATTTTTGAAGTAACTGATTCATACGAAAGAGACTCTCAACACACTCTATTCCGCATTTCGGAAATTCTCAGAGAAGTACTAAAATTTCTAAAATTTCTTCAGTATCAAATATAACAAAAAGTATAATTTAATCTCAAAGAAAATGAACGTGTCTTTTCAAATAAAAAACTTTTGTGAGTATCTTAAATATTTTGATAAAAACATTTTCTCCAAATTGTCGAGCTTTTTAGCAAAAGCTATACACTTGTATTTTTCAATATTTTTTCTGTAAAAAAAAAATTGAATCTATTTGTAATTATTCAAAACTCAAAAGATTTAATCACTGTAGTTGAAGGTCTCTCGTTGGTAGAGCCCGTCGGGTTCAACATTTTTGGACCCGGACCCGCTTTGTTGAACTTTTCTTGGACCCGTACCCGATCTTTAAAAGAAATTTCAGAACCGGACCCGGTAAATAGAAAATTTTTGGACCCGGATGCTACCCGGATTCGATCTTGTCTGTATCTGAGACCAAAGGAATGTGTTCTACTGAACACAAACAATTTATTTTGAACACTAACAACCAAAAGCAACTAGCTCTTTAGAGAAAACAGAAGATCAGTAAAACTTCGAAAAATATTCTCATATGCACAAAAATTGCTTTAGACTGGGACCCGGTCGGGTTCGGGTCCTACCCGACGGGCTCTACTCATTGGTCCATTTCAACAATAAACATATATAATTCGGCACAACACTATTCTCTTATATTCTTGGAATATATGAGAGATTATTAGAGCCCGGCATGTGTTTAATACAATTACACAGAAGCATTAGAATAGAAATATGTCATTTACTTCGCACTAGAGAGGAAGCTCAGGTCTTCTAATCCAAAACTCTGACTTGACCACTGGTTAACACAATCATTTTTTGAAACATGAATAGTCAATAATTATGATATACAGCAAACAATGAAGTTACATGTCATTATCTTTCACTTGTTTTGCTTATTGGAAGGCAATTGGGAATACTTTGAGTGTGATTACAGAACATTGCATGTGAATATATGACCAAAATTCACATTCGACTAAGTCTATTTCAATGACACATTTGAATTCAAACAGAAAGTAATTGAAGTCCGATGAACTAGAATCGCAGCTCTTTTGTGATTGAAACATTTCTGAAAGCGATGACATTGAAAAAAACGATATTATTTAAATGGATAGAAAACTGTTTTCAATAATTATATACTTTATTTGTAATATGCATATACTGTACAAAGATAAAGTCAAGTTCATATTCACAATTTTATAATTAGTTTTTGTATGAGTTCTCGCTGAACTGTTCTTATAAAGTTCTTGTTTGATTTGAAGTTCAAATCAAAACTTATCAAATCTTCACTATAGTCCATTTATCTAACTAACAGTACAAATATGAAATACAATATAATGTTCATTTATATTCGAAATTGAATCAAACTACTTTTGATAAAATAATATCTGTCAGCAAAAACTAAAGTTAAGATATTTTGTTAACACATTCGATGCGATGGGTCCTACCAGTGGGACTCATCATTCTTCAATAGAATCGAATCGCGTCGAATGTGTTAACAAATAAATAATTAATAACCATAAGTGAATAACGATATGCATTAGATAAATTCCTTGAAGTATTTACAGTTTCAACTTTTTTTTATCAAAGATTATTAAACAATATTTTAATATAACTTGTGATATATGTTAAAATCTAATTTAATTTTCTTTAGAAAAATAAACAAAAATATCGTAAGCAGACTGTTTTAATTTTTTTATTTATAGAAGCAACATTTCGAGCATAGCTTATTCTTTTTTTTAAATGTAATGAAAATAGTTTATCGTTTTCTATTGCTTCGTTGATTTAAAAAGTTCTAAGCAAGAGACAGACACATAAATATCTAAATACTTTGTTGTTATAAAAATAATGAATATTAAAATTTAGCTTTAGATTGATATTTCGTATAATATTTAAATTAAACTGAATAATTGTCGAAAGATCATTGTTAGAGTTTTAAACATAATATCCAATGAAAGAGAGATCATCTATACTTTTGTGATATACTTTTATTCTAGAATTTTTCAGAATTAAATAAAAGAAAGTTTATGAGACTGAAAGATAGTTTGTTTGCTTTAACATATGTAAAATATTTTTATTTAAAACATTTTCTAATATTATTGAATTAGTTTTCGATAATATTTTAATGTTTTATAAGTAATACGATTTGAATTATGAAATGAATTGGCACCACGATAAGACGTACGAATTAAATAAATAATATGAGGACCACCATCACAATTCCATTCAATACAACTAGATTTAATAGAAGATAATGATGATGATGATGATGATAATTGATCGAATTGCCAATCAACATAATGAAAACCAGTATAACGAAGACTATCATTCATTGTAAAACCAGTATCATCATATAAAAGATGATCAGCAACAATAGTCCAATTATTTAAATGAATTAAATCTTTTGTATACGATAAACTTAATATATTACGTTGAGATGGATTAAAATTTTGTGTTACAGGATTTACTAATGAAAAATATGCTTGACTAATTGGATCATATCGTATTGTGAATTTAGTCATACCACCTGGAAATTTTATTATTGATACAAATGAAAGTATATTTGTTGTTTGATTTAATTCTAAGATAATAGCTAAATTTGATAATGGTATAGAATTAAATCTAATTATATTTAATATACGTATTTCTTTTGACGATGGTTTAGGTACTATAACAACATTTCCTTCTAAATATCCAGGTGAATTTAGATATGGAAATGATTTTGGTATCCATTCTTTATTGAAAACAAGTGGGGAGGTTAATCGCCAATTGTTTGGAGACATAATTGGATCATCTTCAATAAATTCACTCGATTTTGATAAATTACAACTAATAATTGCTGCTTGAAAATCTGTAGGCCATCGTGAAGGTGCTGGCCAATATTCTATAGCACGATATATAACTTGATTGGCAATAACAATTGGTGTTGGACCTGTTGCAAATGAACCATGAAATAAAATAATACCATCATCACTTCCATTATAATTCCATGATAAACCATAATCATTACTTCGATGAATAATTATATTTGCATTTGAATCACTATCAGTACCTATTGCATATATAATATCATTATAAACTGCTAATGTTGTCCAATAACTATGTTTTATATATGAAATAAATGACCATGTTTCACCATTATTATCACTTATATAAACTGAAACATTTCTTGGTTGAAATAAATATCCTGAACCAAAAAAATCATGACTAGCAACAAGACGACCTGATGATAAACGAATAATTGAAGGTGAACCAAGATAAATTTTCGATGGTTCATCATGATAAGCTACTTCATTTAAATCAAGATTTGAATCTGGTATACGCATACATTCAATTAAATATGAATATAATACAATATTTATTGTTATTAATAGAAATTCAATATAATACATTCTTTATATTATAACCAATTATCTAAGAAGAAATAAAATAATTATTTGAATATTTTATCAACTAACATCTATCTTTTTACTGTTAAGTATTTGTGCAGATAAATTTATTTCTATTTTGATAATTTGTTAGTTGTTATCATCTGTTGACTCTCTTTTTGTTTTATCTCTTTCTTACTTATAGAGACCTGCGGGAACAACTTTTTTTTGGTTCCCGTTCCCGTATTGAAAATTTTTGTTCCCGTTCCCGTTCCCGTAACAAAAATTTTCGTTCCCGATCCCGTGTTCCCGTTCCCGTAACAAAATTTTCGTTCCCGTTCCGTATTCCCATTCCCGTAATGCTTTGAGAATAGCTACAATGATTTCATTATTCACATTCATCAACACTACTCCTACTTTTAGCTTTTAGCGACATCATGTTTCTCACAATACAAGATTCCTTATATTAAAAGTAAATTTCTGATTCAAGGCTCATAAACCTATTGAAACTTGAAACTTGAAATTTCAATTGAATTCAAGTTTCAAGTTTGACATATATGTAATCTTGATGATCCCAACTTCGATGCCGACGATGGTGGTAAAGAATATCGTGATTCTCATAATCTATGTTTGAATGAACTTGTCTGATTTTGTTGACTGATATTTGTTCTCTTTTCAATTATATTTCAAATAGTTATTGGAAATCGAATACTGTAACATTAACAGATTTTAATGCAAACAGAAATCAGACATAGGGTTTGCCGGGAACAGAAATTTTTAATAGAATTCCCGTTCCCGGAGTGTCCACCAGAATTCCCGTTCCCGCATTCCCGCGGGAAACGGGACGGGAAAACACGGGAAAAAGTCGTTCCCGCAGGACTCTAGTTACTTATCGATTAAATTTTGGAAATGTTTTTGCTTCTTTCATATACTATTTAATAGTTAAAATAAATACAAGTTGAATTCGGTTATATGTATTACCTTTAAAGAATAAAAGAACAAAATAATATTTGCCGAGACGAATTCTAATTCTATAAATGTAATTATAAATCTATTGCGATATTATCAATTGATAATCGTTAAATAATTACCATTTATTTTCAACTATTCAAATGTATGTTAATCATTAATTACTAGATTCTTTTTTTCCTTAATAAAGATTTCAGAACAAAACTATACCTGTTTATTCTCAAGAATTTGATGATATTCTCATATTTTATGCACTTTTATTTTGAGCATTTTTCTATTATGTTTAAGTGTAAGAAAAAAAGTAACATAGTTAACATTGTCAAATGTTAATTTATTTAAATAGATCGCATGATCTTTTCGAACTCATCATTTTTCCATTCATCTGTCGAAACAAACCAAATATTCTCGAAAGCTTTGGTAACAGGACCATTTGAACCCATCAACTTTGACGTAAGTACTTTCCGAAAAATTTTTCCAATTTCAATGACATTATTTCCAAAAGCACCCGTACCTATTGGTCCAAGTAAAAGATAAGTATTTGATCCATCATCTTTTGTATTAGCAACAGCTGCAGCCATGAATGCATTAAATTTAGCCAAAGTTTTTCTTTCCCACTAAAATAATCAAAATTAATTTTGTTACTAATTAAAATGAATACTTCGAACAAAAAATAATCAGTTTTTTTTTCATGCTCTTAGTTTTTCAATGTCAACTATTTACCTCTTCCTCCGTCTTTGGATTATCATAAAGTTGTGGTGAACCAGTAAGACAATAACAAGCAGAAACTAGCATATCGGTTTTGCGATTCTTGCCTGTTTCTTTATCAAAAAAACATATATCACGAACATATGCAAGCCCAAATTCAGGTATAGCATAGCCTCCACCCATGCGGCCGTATTTTAGATCAAGCAATGATCGATAGCCATCCGAATTGTAAAGTATAATTTCTTCTTGTGCCCCTAATAAATAGAAAATATTCATTTCAACTTGACTAGCAGAATACAATATTTTAACAAGATATAAATTGTACAAAATTGTTATATATATATATATGTATATATGTGCATTTCTATATTTCTGAAATAAATAATACTTACAGGCATGTCTTAAATATCCACCACCAGGAGATCGTTCATTCTAAAATATTGAAGTTAAATTGAGAATAATCTACTGAAAAATAGCTTACAGCAAAATTAAGAACAATTATTTGAGCATCTTCAGGTATATCAAAAACAGCCTTTTCAATACCTTTGTTGATATAGTTAATCTGTCCGGCATTATTTCGTTTTGATACAGGATGCTCACGTAGAGCTTTTACGACATCAGCATCAGATGGGTCATGTGGTGGTAGGTTATCATCTTTTAATTCAGCTATTGTTTCACATTTTACTTCTTCTTTGGGTTCCTCTTTCATTTGGTCGTTTATTTCATTGGTATTTTCGTTTTTTACTTCGACTTTTGTTTCTTCGTTTTTTTCAAGTTTCGTTTCATTATTGACATCATTGTTTTGTTTATCTCTTTCTTCTACTTGCTTAGCTTTTGTTTCATGTTTCGGACAAAGGTTTTCAAGTTGTTGCAAATTCCAATAGATTTTTAATTCATTAGGTTCCCAACCATGACTGCGAAAACAGGACATATATTCACGAGATTGATTTATATCAGGATGTAACTAAAGAAATATTAATTATATAAAGAATGTTATTTCGAACGATCCTTTTAAACGTTGTTTTAAAATAATGTGATTCTATAGCTGAATCCTATTGGAAATATTAAGATCCAACATAATATTGCTTACAGAAATGATATCATCTAGAAAAACTGATTAAATTTGACTTTGATTTCTTTGAGATCAATTTCTAAGAAAAAAGATATGGTCCTATATTTTCGAATAATATCAAACGAAATAAGATTTTGTTCTGGAGAAATTCAGAAATGTCAAAACTCACAAATTTTACATAGAGATTTTCTAGAATTCCTAACAGCTAACTCTATATTGTATTATACTTAAAGAAAAATCTTGATGATACTCGACACAATCAGAACTTTTTATGTTAAAACTTGTGAAAAATCAGCCATTCAAATGTCACGTAATCCTACGTTTATTCATATTGGCTGACTCAGGTTTCATTAATGGCTGATAATTAAAAGGTAATATTGTAAAGGATGACGTAAACAGAATGATTGTCTCAATATATTTCATTAATAGTTCGAATATCTATTCATCTATTTAAACAATTTTCTCTAAAGACTTGTTTTCCTATTCTTTATAAAATCATTTATTATTATTTGACTAAATATTTAAAATAGTTTATTATAAAATACAACAATTACCTCATACTACTGTTTTCTTTATTTTTTAATCCTTGATTTACTAACAGAAATCATTGTCTTCTTAATAACCTACATTTAAACTCATCAAACTTCAATATATGAGATTAACTCATGCGCTTTATAATATGGTGAAAATTTAAGAAAGAAAAATGTCATAAATCATAATAAACATTCTGAAAACGCATCGGAATCCATTGTATTTCTCAGTGTCATGCACTGAAAATTCAGATTTATAGAAAAAAAAATATATATTAGTAAAATAAATTAATTATACATGCATATATGTGACTGTTTTCATTTTTTTAACGCAGATTAAGATAAAACAAATTCTTGTCTAAAATATCTATCAATAGATTTGTTCTTTTGTAAATGCATCTTATTGCTGTAAGTTTTTTATTTGTAAAGATAGTTATTCTGACAATGATCTTTATAAATCAATAATACTTCGACATATTATTCTAATTTGTAACGTTATTTCTGATATAATATTCAATATTTTCGATCGATTTGTCTGAAAAATTTGATTGCTCTTCAAGTTAAAATGATATATTATCCATATCAAATTGTCTTTGTTCATGTTCATCAACATATGAGAAATCTCTAATGACGAAAATTTCATAAACATGAACGAAATATTTCCTATATTCTCTAGAAAATTGTTATTAATATGTTTCATATAATTGAATAGTGCCTGTGAACTTTGGTAAAATATCTAAGAATAGTTCAATACCAACAAAATTCATCATTGATTATAACTATTCGATATATTAAAAATATTTGCAAGGAACAATCAAAGATTATTGAACATATTTGCTAACCAATTTATCAAATACTTTAAAAAACTCTCGAGAGCTTGTTGATTTCATATCAAAGTTGTCTTGAAAATTTTTCTGTTTATAGTTTACGCACGATGGCAACCTCTTTTTTTTTGTGACGTTAATATTGGTATTGATACAGTTATAATAATATTATCTATCCTAATTAACTTTTCACACTCGATTTAATCTCAAACACTGAATACTAAAACTGAATTGTTTACAAGGTATGTTCTGTTTGTATCAAACGAGCGTAAGTAACTGATTCTAATATGATTAATGTTATCGAAAACGATCTCATTTGATGAATAAAATTGCTCAATTTTAATGTCATTGGATGTGTTGCACTACAAGAGTTTGAAAGAGTTTTAACCGTTAAATCTTGTTTCAATAGTCATTTGATGAAGCGATTTTCGATGTTTCCTAGTCTCGATCAGCAATGGATCATATTAATTATGACAGAAACTAACAACTGACTATCATCATTTTCGACAACGTAAATTCGATAAGAACTCAGAAAATTCGATCATCGAGCATTAATGACAAATCCTGTAAGTAAATGAAGAAAATTTGTTTTCTTTTATATTTCTATAAAGGCGAAGGTTCATACTGATTCATCTTGAACAAAAAGATCTATTTTTTTATAAAGTATCTTTAAAATAGATCTTCATCGTTAATTGTCACTTACTGATAATAGTAGTAGAAATGGAACATTTATAGTTTTTAGAAAATCTTAGAGTTCAAACTTGACAAAATTTGCAGATGTCTTAATTGAAATCATCAGTGAGAAACTATATATATACGATAAAGAAAAACTCACCCCTTCAATAGTTAACTCATAGTAAGGTTCAATGTTTTTGACAGCAAAATGCTTAGCTGTGCCATCCTCTTTTTTCTTTTATCATCTGATCATAAGTTTTACGAAGTTTATTCCAATCAAGTTGCTCTCTTTTGCCAACACGATCTTTCTGTACGAGCCATTGCCGAACTTTTGCAACATGTTGTATAGTTTGTTCATCGAATTTATTGTTTGATTTATTGTTTTCGATTTCGTTCACTTTATTATTGATTGCAAGCAAAAAAGCAAGTAAAGTACGTTTACTGAAGGTCCAATCTCTTCTATCAGATTGTTGAATAGTCAAAATAATAGAATCAATTGTTTCCTCGGTTAGAGAATCCAATGGTACATAGACAGATAATGGATCTGGCATCGGTCTATACTTTATATTCGTTTGCATTGATAATGATAAATATGATAGTTTATCAGATGTCGTATGGATTAGATCAGCCAAATTTTGTGATTCCTCCATTTTGCTTTTAAGAAAAGATCTTTTTGTTCGTCTAAAAAGATGTCGTAATGAAATACACATTTTTTTTAATATTAGAATCTGAAATTAATTTGTAACTACTAATATTTCTATCTCTCCTTACAACATACACACTGCTTTCGACAGCGTCTTGTAGTTCCTTGCATTTTAACTCATTATATCGCGACACTGAAATTATTTGTATTTTTTTTACGTTTTTTTTAACTATAAATCTATTCAAATATAGAATGAAAAATATATTAATGTACAAGTTTCATTTCTTCTCTTCCTAGTCTGAACTCAGAACAAAAAGAAATAAAAGACAAAAATGCCATTAGCTATCAAAGATATTTATTAGTGACCTCTATGAATTCTGTAAGTTAACTAAACTCTTTTAATGATCTCCGTAATTTCCTTCTTTTACTTTTATTTTTCTAATTTCCTTCAATTATCTAAGGTAAACAATAGAATGTAAAATCTAAAGAGAATCACCCCGGCAACGAATATATTCATGCCATCATTAAGTGTCGACAATTCAATTTCAGTCATAGATTAAAAAAAAAAAAGGTCTATTAATTCGGCGGTTTCTGGAAGCAATTATATAGACATTGGTGCAAACAAATAAACATTAATCAATGTATTATTTCAGAAATTTGAACATTAGTAAAAATATATCTAAAAATTCAACTATTTGTTAGTGAAACATTATAATACAGAAAATAACTAGAATGAAAACAATATTTACCCGTAGAAATATCTTCTTTATTTTATTTCTACTGAGAAAATTAATCTTTTAATTAGGTTTATGATTAAATAATATCAATAGAATAAATTTTCTTCTTATTGAATTCATTATCGAATAAGAGATAGACATTCACTATATCTATTAATCATATATAGAGATAGGAAATCTTGTTAACAATCAATAAGTTCATCTTCTATTAATATTCGATTGCTATTTTATGGATCATTTCGACATAGAACAAGTAAGACTCGAACTTTGATCATTGTCTCGGTTAAAATTCGTGCTCATATTTGATTTTCATTATCGACAGAAACGAATTTGAAATCAATTAACAAATGATAATGTAATACATTGACTATTTTTATACTATAGATTATAATATATTATTTTGAGTTGGAAAATTTATGTTTTTCTTCATATAAAATAGTGACAATGAAGAAGTTTTCGATGATTATCAATGATTAGATACAATTCACTCAAATACTTCTTCATAAGTATTAACATCTATTATAATCACTTTCAATTTAAGTGAATTATATTTTCTGCGAAAAGTATTCAATATCAAATATTCGTCTGATTGTATAAATATTGTATGAAACAAAATAAATGATGTACAAATCTGACTATAGGTCACCATTAATAACATCATAGGAGAATGTCACTAAACTTCAGACGAATCATATATTTAAATAGATTTAGATTTATTTAACTTCAAGGTAATCATCTTACATAATGAAGTAAGAGATAGGAAAACAATTTCAATTTAGTGTTTTTTTCTTTCGTTTTATCTCATACATATATGATACTTTTTTTGATAAAACATCAACATACAGATGAAAAGAAAAAATTTTGACAAACTCTCTTACATAAAAAAAAAACAAACGAAAAACTAGATCATTCACTAAAATATAGTATGAGGATGTAGGGTAGTTCAAATGAAAAAATAAATTCTCGACAACAATGATTACTTCTTATACTATTTTAGCTTAATGTTAAGAGGAATCGATACACTAAAATGAAGAGAAAGCACATATAAATAAAGAAGCGTGAAAATCTTCATTGATTTTCTCTTGTTTTAATCTTATATATATATTCAAGCAATATTTATTATATATGAATATGTTTATTTAATAAGGATGATTATATGAATACCTCTCTGTGAAGATATGACTTACACTTATACACAATGCAATTCATGTCGTATGCTTATTTGCAATACTACTATTTTTATTTTATGACTATGGATAAATACAATGCATACGATCGATAAAGTGCACATTATATCGAATCGTCTATTAATGGTTAACAGATGTTGTTTTTTTCTTGTGGTTTGAATCATATAACAATGACAATCTACCGATGGTAAAGTCAGTAGAACATAAAAAACTATTTTTATTAAATATAAAAAAAAATGATTAAACAGAGTGAAAATGATATTTTCTTTGTTTTAAAATTGGAAAAAATGTCATGTTTGAAATAGCATCTAAAACAATTTTTTCAACAGTTTGATAATAATTTTATTCCATATATATATTTGTGCATTAATTCGATAATAATATTTATTATCAAATTGAAACATAGTTTTGAACTAAGTTTTCGATGATTGAAGTTTTCAACAAATTGAAACCCATCAATAATTGTTAAAATATTTTGACAACGAAAAAATTGAATCATTGTTTTAATATAAAATAATATTGCTGCTATTTAACTAATATGATCAAATACAATTAATTTAACATTTTTTAGTTTATTTATTGTATTTTGAGTTTTTTTTTTTTTTTTTAATAATAAATCTGTATTTTGTATTGTTTGACGATCAAGTTCGATTTGAATAATTTGTTCTTGTGTAAAAATTTCTGTTAAAACATATTCTAATGTTAATTTAACCATTCCATATTCAACATTATAATATAAAATAGTTTCATTCGATTTTAATTTTAATGATTTAAGAATTAAATTTATGGCAGCGGATGCATTATCAACTATAACAAGATCATCTGGATCACAATTAACATATTTATTTAATTTTTGTCGTAATTTTTCCATTGCAACTTGAACATCTAAACGAAATCATCGATCAGAATTATGTTCAGCTTATAATTGATATTCTTGAAGTTTTTCATGAACATATTTGGGCGCTGAACCATGATTTATATTTATATATGATGGATCAAGATAAAAAAGTGGTAATAATGAATGACCAAATGGATAAACAGAAATATTTAACCAACTAAGAATAAAATTTCCATAAATAAAAATCTTCATTTTTTATTTTGTGAAAATAAATATAGGTTATCACTTGATATTCTTTACTTATCTTATCAACAATGAAATGAAAACAATTTAATATTCAACCCATTTTTTTTTCTCTATTGTATTATCAAGTCTCATGATATATTAATATTAATTTCAATTTATATTTTTATTACGCTTCGAAAAAGTTAATATTGAAAAATCTATTTTATGTTTATGTTAGAACGAAAAGAAAAAACAACTTTTTTCGAACAGAATACAAAATATGTTTGATCTATTAATCGACTAACTAACTCATTAATATTTCATACGTTCTTCTTGCCAAGAAAATTGAATTTATCTTACTTTTTTTGTTTTTTTAATTAGGAACAAACGAAAAGATTTTTAATTTGTTGATGAAATAATTCTGAATAAATGGTAAATATGATAAGAGAATAAAATAGATATATTCAATAAATAAATAAATAAACAAACAGAAATAATATGATTAAATGATTGACGGATAGATAAATGAAATTATTCTTAACAATATTTTCAATTGATAATAACAATATTTATATCAATTCATTTAATTGTAAATCTGATGATCTTCTCACTAAATCTTTATGATTACATTTGATACAATTCTTTTTCCTTACTTTATATTTCGATAATCATAATGAATATCGAAATATAAATAGATTTCATATTGATTGTTGTTCCAATACCCAGGTCAAGCTCGGTACGTCGGAACCGATCGATTCCGTTGAATTCCGACGATTTCTTTACTACAGGATTCCGGTTCAGATTTCGTCGAACCAGTTCCGATCAGTTTCCATCGGTTCCGACGAATTCCTGGTCGAAATTTTGCGGAACCTAACGGAATTTTTCCGGCGGAAACTGGACCGGAATCCTGTAGCCAAGAAATCGTCGGAAGTCAATGGAGCCGACCGAAAACCAACGGAATCTATAGGATCCGCTGCAGGAAAACAAAGGAAACAAACGGTTCCGGCGATCGGAACAGTGGACCTGGGTAATGCTTATTCTATTTTCTCAATATTCAGGTTGAATAAACAAGATTATAAATGATCGTTAAACATCTATTACTAAACTTATACTAAATAATTCGAACAGAATTAGAGCTTACAGATGCTATAAAAAACACATTAGAGTATTAGATTTAGTTTGAAATCGAACTAATTTTTGTCTCTTTTAAATAATAATCTTTAAGATTTTTTTTCTGAATAATCATAAATATAAATGTCATCAATGGATGAAATAGACAAGATAAAAAAAATTTTTTGGTTCAATTAAATTTTCAAAAATCGAAAATTTAGATTTTTAATGAAATAAAATTTCTCTATAATTTAATTTCTTCAGAGAATGATATGAGAACTATTAATCATTCAAAATTTAGGATTATTGTTGAAAAAATGAAAAAAAAATTGATAAAATCAAACCATAATTAATTAAATCAAGTACATATAATAAAACAAAAACTGAAAGACTCAATATTATCCACTTTTCTCAATCTATGGAATAAGATAAGATGAAATATTAACTTATAATTTTTGCAATAAAGCTTCTACGTTCAATACTTAAGCAGCTTCATATGTACATTGATAATTATAGGAATGAGTTTACACATTTTAATTCACTTATTCAAAAATGACTCACTCACACTTCTACACATCAGAAAAATCTTATAAGAATCTATAAGCTCGAGTTTGTTGAACTCATCAATAAACTTTTTAGGAAAAATCGATTAGTACAAGTGATTAAATAGGATATAATGAATAAATTTGAAAATGAATGCATAATTTTGAAGTAATTCTTTCTTCATATTCAATAGATCTTGTTTGATATCAAAGTTTAAACAGAAAACACTTTCCAGAACCATATGTTACAAATGGCGACATCTCATTCGATTCGAAATGCTTATTCAGATACTTTTATATTTGCTTTTCTTCTTTCACGTTTTTCTACATGCCAAAAGCAAGAAGTAATTATGTCTTTTCTACGTTCTGTTTTTTCGTTTTGTATCCACAGGTAAAAAGCATTTATTTTTGCATAATTGCACATATGACTATTGATGTTTTGTTTTTTTCTATAATATGTTTTATTAAAATTATTCGATTATAGAATATAATTATTATTTCAATGTCAATTGATAGATTACCAGTTGAATTATTTCATTGTATATTGGATAATCTTAATACAGAAACAATTATTTTTTCAGTTGGTTATGTATGTCGATTATTTCGATCATTTGTTAATAGTTATGATCGATATATTTTCAATTTAACTTTAGTTTCAAAATCAAATTTTTATTTACTTTGTCGATTAATTAATCCAGTTAATGTTATATCATTGACATTATCAAATGAAGAACGAACATCAAATCAAATAGATTTATTTATTTTACTTGTTCGTATTCGTCAATTTACTCGACTTATTTCAATAACTCTTATTGATATAAATGAATATCAATTAAATTTTATTTTAAAACGAATTAATCTTAATTTTCTTACTTCATTTTCATTTAATATTAAAAAATATGATGATAGACGTATTAAAACAACTAATAATCTTCTTACATCAATAATAACTCAAATTAATTTTCGAAAAATTGAATTTAATTTAACAAATGATAGATTATGGAAAATTTCATGGCCATACAATTGTTCAATACAATATTTAATTGTTAATGAAGATATAAATATGGAGAATATTTTTAAAATACTTCAATCTTCTCCTTATTTAAATAAAATTATTTTGAAACAAAAATTTAGTAAAATTATCAAAAATCTTTGTCAAATATCTCCTTATAATATATGTTTTCGACAATTAACATCGTTAACAATGGAAAAAGTTAATATAAATATAGATGAATTGGAATCATTTCTTTTATTAACACCATCAATTGTTTATTTAAAACTCATTAGTGAACAAGGTATGTTTGATGGAAAACGATGGGAACAATTTATTGAAAAAAATTTACTTCATTTAAATAAATTTCAATTTTATTTTGATTATTGGGATCCAGTTACAAAAACTTTAGCAGATCTTCAATTAATAATAGCTTCATTTCGAACTCCATTTTGGATTGAATATAAAAAATGGTTTGTTACTTGTGCATGTGATATTAAACGATCGACAACTATCTCTCTTTATTCAATACCAATATGCAAACATTTTTTAACTTATGATATAGAATTACACAATAATTCACTTGTCACTTATAATACTACCATCGACAATTATCAATTCTTAGAAAATCATGTCAATTATCTAAGTTTACCTTTAACTAAACCATTAACTACTTATATACAAGAAAAAGTATGTTATTCAATTAGAATTTTACATTTTAATATGTATATATATATATATGTAGCATCATACGATGGGAGTATTCTAAAACTTTCGAAATACTTAAATTGTCAGAAACTTGTCAAAAGTAGAGAAGATCTGATGATTGAAAAAGATAACAATATAATAAGATCTCATATATTCAATTTAGTTTGAATATATTATTCATTTTTTTCAATCTAAACAATTATATATATATTTATTTATTTCAATTTGTTTCAAGTTGAAATCGAATTCTACATATTATTATTTGAATGAACTTTTGTTATCTATTATAAAAAAAAGAACAAAATTCATTTTTCTTTCTTTACATAGCAGGTATATTCTCCTCATTTATTTATCTATAAATATAAACAACTATCACACTATGACGAGAATGTCTAAATTTCTTTCTTTTTGTCTATTCATGTCATTACCCGCCACTGATAACTCGAGTTATCATTTAATGTTGTATAATCTCTTACCCAACTAATTTTTGTTAAAGTTTTCAAATAAATTTTATTGAATAGTAGCAACTTTCGTCGATATTTATCATACAAAACATCATTAAGATATAGATTTAGATTTTTCGTAAGTAAAAAAAAACAAAACCAATTAAGAAAAATAGATCTTTTCTTTTTCTAGTAGTTTAGGAAAATTTCTACACGCATTTGTGTAAGAAGTTGTTTAATATCACGATTTTTGTATTTTTCGCAATATTTCTAAAAATAGCAATTTCCATTAGCTATGATCAGTAAATGGTTAACAATAGAATCTATCTATTAGACTTTGCTCAATAATATTCATTATTTATGAAAAAAAAAAAATCGTAACAATTTGAAAAGATTTCCATCAGACTAAATGGTAATGTTGGGTACTAGTAACAAACATTGTTCGAATATTTCACTGTATCATCTAATCATATCTTTTTCGCTTGGATACACAAAATTTTTACAGTTTTATTATATTTCTTTTTAATAGCATCACAAGATGCAAACAATGTATTCATGTAAACTTAATTTTGCAAAAGTTTTGAATAATATTTAAATAAATAGTAACTATTTTAGTTATCTTTTATAAGACTTATTTACTATACTTAAATTAATTTTAATTCAATAAAATTTTTGTAAATAATAAATTGAAGATAAATATAAAAATTTCTTGAAATATTATTAAAAATAATATTGACGTTATCCAAAGTAAAACAATGTTTAAATTTGAATATTTTCAGGAAGCAACAATAAATCAACTTCTGTTTCCCAAAGTGACAAAAGTCTCTATTGAATTATACGAAGAATGGCCTTTATTTTCTCTTCAATCTCTTTCCATATTGATTAATATTTCTCAAATAGTTCACATGACATTACGCAGCTATTATTTTATTAACTATAATCAAAATGCATTTCTGGACATGCGTATTTTTATTAAACAAGCTAAAAATCTTTCTTCGCTTATTATTCAAACTG